TATATACGTATATATGACATCAAGGTAACTTAAATTTACTTTATTATTTAAACAGACCTCCAACTTTGGTAACCATTTGTCTTTAAACATGTCGAACATTTAAATAACAACTAACTAGCATGGTCATGAGTAATCCTTATCTTTTCAGTATTCTGTAGATTATGAAAATTCCGACAGATGGCGCGACAAATAAGTCAGGAAAAGTATGTCTGAGTCTGTGACTATAATGTGACTCTTTATGAAGTTCATACGAATCACTAGCATAGAAGCTCGAAAAAATATGGATGTTGTCACTAACAGTAAATTCAAAATTTCTTTCTTCGTTATAGCCCGTGACTGTGAATTATGAGAAATTAAGGAAATCGAAACTTGTTTTATTAAGAACGTTTCACATGTTTTGTAAAACTCGTTTCTTTTCGAAATAGACAAACTAATTAGTATTCGACTAGAAAATATGCGCGTTAAAAATTTTTCTTAGTAAAAACTATTATTGTGAGTGGGTGGCCGTTATTTTTAGTAAATGGTGATGATTTCTATTATACTATGATCCCTCTGATTCTCGATAGAAGAACCAGAATTTACAATACATGAATTTCTTGAGTTCTGAACAAATTGAAATGAAAGATCTAAGATATAGAAACTCGTAATTAAACGACTTTTCATCTCTAAATGATACAGTAATCAACTTTAGAACGACTACGAGATTTTGCAATTTTCTCTGATTTTATGCATGCTTAATCCGTTTGTCTCTGCTTGAAGTGAGTCTTTTATATTATATATTCATGTATAAATAAACACATTTGGTTCTGTGATGTACTTTCTGAACTATAGTGATTCAATTCAACATGCAAGAGCGAATTTCTCTAACATTACTCAGAATTAGTTTTGAATACAACTTACTGCATGACCAGTTACTGGAAGGAGATGAAGGGGTCAGAGAATCTATGCTTGAATGGTTGATCGTATTCCAATTCGTTGTTTGTATGAAGTGTAAACAGTAATGACATATTCATATGCACATATACAACCGGACAACCATTATTTTACTATTTTTAATTATTAGAATATATACC